CACACACCCAAGCATGGTCTTTTGGCTGCCGAAGCCATACCTTCACTTCCTTGTGGGCAGGAGAGGCCCCTGCAGTTTAACACACTGCCTTTTCTCCTCTAGCTATGCCTTCCTCAAGCCGGTCATATTACAGGGACTCACGGACAACTCGGTGAGTATTTGTACCCATGTGGGCAACTAATCCTGATTGACCAGTTGCTCAGTTCTTTTATCCTCCAATCCCAGAGGTTCAGGGCCCTGTGCTCTCGGGAAAACCTGCTGGCCTCGTTCGGGGACAACGTTGTTCGCTTGAGTACAGCCAACACCTACTCATACCAGAAAGGTGAGCTAACACACCCTCCTTTAAGGCCTGACTGTTTGCCAGCATCCCAAAGGCAGGACTGACCAGTCCCAACTGGAACACTCCCTTCTTGTAGTGGACCTGCCCTTCCAGGAATATGTGGAGCAGCTGCTGCACCCCCAGGATCCCACGTCCCTAGGCAATGGTGAGCCAGACCTAGGCAGCATTGGGAATGGGACACTTGGGAACTCACTGTTGCCAATATTCTTGCCTCTTACCTTCCCTGCTGGCAGACACCCTGTACTTTTTTGGAGACAACAACTTTACTGAATGGGCATCACTATTCCAGCATTATTCTCCACCTCCATTTCGTCTACTGGGAACTACCCCTGCTTACAGCTTTGGGATTGCAGGTGGGTGCTTTTTCAAAGCAGACTGGGGAAGCCCATCCATACATACTTTGTTCATCACAACTGACCCCACAGGAGCTGGATCTGGGGTACCCTTCCACTGGCATGGGCCTGGTTTCTCAGAGGTGATTTATGGTCGGAAGGTCAGTACAAGGGTACAAGGGTAGGAGCTGAAGTTTGGAGTTTGGAGTTCAAAGCACACATGTGACCTTACACTTCTTCCTCCAGCGCTGGCTCCTCTACCCTCCTGAGAAGACACCAGAGTTCCACCCCAACAAGACCACATTGGCCTGGATTCAGGAAATATACCCATCTTTAGCCCCATCAGCTCGGCCCCTGGAATGTACCATCCAGGCTGGTGAAGTCAGTGGCTGGTAGGTGGGGGTTGGGCCAACCCCCAAAGCCCCAACCAATCTCTGTGCTCTTTTCTGTCAGGTGCTGTACTTCCCTGACCGGTGGTGGCATGCCACACTCAATCTGGACACTAGTGTCTTTATTTCTACCTTCCTTGGCTAGCCAAACAGGCAACTGGCAAGCAGCAGCACACGCTATCGTAGTGCTCACAGACTTTATTACAGGACAGTGGCAGCAGCAGCAACCTCAGCCCACCCTTACCCGCTTTCCAGCCCAGAAGGGGGACAGGGAAGGCTCATGGCCCAGCAAGGGGTATGCCGAGAAGGGGAGCAGTTCAGAACCCATCAGCAAGGACTGATGGGGACAGGCCCAGGGACACAAACTATATACAGGGACTGGAGCTTCTGTTTCCAGACCCTCCTGGGCCAGGGTGCCAGGCAGGATATGGGGCCTTAGTAGTCCTCTACCCAGCCGTTCTCAGAGATGAATGCATCAATGACTTCCTTCATGGCCAAGTTGGGGATGAGCTGTTCCTGGGTGAGAGGGCTCCGGGTCACAGGGTCAAAGTGGCCCACACGCTGCAACAACAGAGCCAAGAGTGTTCAACCACCTGAGTATGCCTCTAGTCCTAGTCCCAGACCCACGGACCCTTACCTGCAGGTGCTCCTCAATGTCCTTGCGATCATAAGTGATACCACTGGGTGTGATGCAGGGCTCCCGCATCAGCTCAAAGCTGATCTTGCCACACAAGTAGTCAGGGATATCTCGCTTCTACAGCACAATGGGAAAAATGTCTGGAACTGGAAGGATCACCACATCAGCACCTGCCCAAGGGCTTCAAGGGATACCCACCTTTCTTTTCTCGTCCACCTGAGAGAAGAGCTCATCCATGTCTGCCATGTATTTATCCTGTAGAGTTGAGTGCCATGTGTGGGCAACTCATATCTCCTCCACACAGACACACACACCTTATGTCCACCAGGGCACTCATGTCATGCATGGGCCAACAGATCCACCATAGGCTGGGGCACTTTCCATGCCACACACAAAAACACACACACAACGACCCACATGTGGACTAGGGGCACCCTCACGTGCTTGGCCTCAATGCAGGCCTGCTGGGCCCGGATGTGGCCATCATCCTCATCACCCTCGTGGTTCCGCTGACACTCTTCCAGTTCCCTGAAGGTTAACCAGACGATAGTCAGTGATGGTCCTGACCAGAAAAGACAAGAGCCTTCCCCACTTCAGGCCTCTTTCCTCCTGGGCTCACTGTGTGTCAGGGTTGTCTTTCAATAAACATTTGTGCTGATGACTGTCAATCCGAGGAAGTAGCATGGTAGGGGGAAGACCCACCTCTCTCGCTCAGCAGCAATGAGCCTGGTGAGATAAGAGTGCAGCTCACTCTCCTGGTGAATGCGCCGTTCCTCGATACTGTTCCAGCGCTTCTTCTTAGCAATACGAAGGGCACTGGGGATATCATCTCCAAAGTTGAGTCGCTGCTCCTTGGCCAAACTATAGGCTGGAGGAGTGGACACTTTTAAGTTACACTCGCCAATAATCCTGGCCCCAACGTGCCCACAACCTGACATCTTGTCAGCCCACCTCGCTGCAGATTGGCAATGGCCTCATCATAACTCTCCATCTCTAGCTGGCATTGCCCCAGGAAGAAGTGCGCCTTCACAGACTGCCCATCCAGCTCCAGGGCTCTCCGGCAGTCAGCAAGTGCCTGTTCAGGCTGCTGCATCTTCAGATAGCATAGGGCCCGGTTGGTGTAGTACACTGCCACAAGTGGGTTCCGGGTCTGGGGACCAAAGGCAGGCAGCATAAAAGGGTGTGGGATCAAATGGACCCTTCTATCTAGGAAGATGACAGCCACCAATGATCGGGGGGGGGGGGGGGGTAATGCTCCAGCTTTAGAGTCCATGACAAGAATTGAGACACTGGAGGTTTCCGGGTTGCCAGAGCTCTGGATTCTGGTTATATTCTCTTAACTCCAACTGCTTTTGTGGCAATTACCCAGAACCTCTCTCCCAGCTTTGGGCTTGGGCGCCTCAATCATCCTAAGCCTGCCTCAATCAAGCATCCCGCCCGCCAGTACCCAGTCAACCAGTCCTGGGCTTGGCAACAGTAATCCGTGAGCGGGGAACAAGCTAGCCACCGAGTCCTGCCTGCCAGAAAAATCGTCCCGGAATCACAGAACTGGGAGGCACATCGGGCCCCGCCCCCGCCCCCGCCCCCCGCACTCACGATGGCGCGGCCGTAGCAGGCCGCCGCCTCCTGGTACTTGCGGCCCACGAAGAGCCGGTTCCCCTGCTCCTTGAGCTCCTGCGCACTCGGGCTCTTATCAGGGCTGCCACCGCCAGTGCCCAGCCGCGCGCCGCCCTCCTTTTCCTCCTTGCCCTTCATGGCGCCGCGCGGCACGGCTTGGGCTCCGCGCCCGGCCACCTAGCTCTCGCAGCCCGCGCAGCGATCAGCTCCGCCCGGTCAGCGATCCGCCACCGGAACTTCCGGCGTGGGGCGGGGCTGGCATGAGGACACGTGAGCAAAGGCGGAGCCTCGCAGCTGCTGAGACAGTTCGCGAAGTGCTGCGATGCTAGGTCGAAGCTCTCTACGGGCCCCGCCCCACAGTAACCAGGACCTATCCTCACTTTTCAGACCAAAGCTCCGCCCCTTCGCCGTTCAAGCCCCGCCCCAAGCCCACTGCTCGGGAACGTGGCAGCGGCCTTTGGCTCCAAGGACCGGTCACTGGACCGCTGTCCTAGCCCGCCATGCGGGTGCATGTGGGAGCCTGGGAGCGTCTAGACCGCCGGTAGGACCACGGAATTGAGGGAAGAAGTGGGAGGGAGACCGGCAGGCCAGACGGTCCTCGCAGAGCTTCCCTGGAAATCGGGAGGAGCTGCCTTCGGCCATTAATGGCTGAGAAGCAAGCACGTGACATGTTGACACGAAAGAACCTGCAGTGGCAGCTGTAAATGAAGCTGCGGTTGCTCGGCTGGACTCCGTTTTTGGCAATCATGGGGAGGAGCTTCTTCAAGGGCGGGGCCAGCAGGTTTCCTTGGAGAAAGCATGCACCTAGGACCCTTTGACCCCAAGGTCTGTTTAAGACCCATTCCTAGCCGCTGCTGCTACAGCCGATGTCCGCCGACTTCCCCACCCCACCCCCGGAGCTGGAGGAGCAGAACTCGGCTTTCGGCTGATCTGTGCTCCGCATTGTCACTGCCTCGGAGTGAGTAGGAAACATCTTTGCCCAAGTTGGGATAGCCCAAGAAGCTAACCCCAGAACCTCGCTGTCACTCTTTGTAGTGGTCCTGGTGGCAGGAGCTTCTGAGGTGGCAGAAACAGTGCCAAGCTTGCTAGCCCTACAGTACACAGTCAAACACTACTTGCTGTTTCTGGCCCAGATGCAAGAGCGGCCTGAGAGGTCATGCAGGACCTCGTCAGGATTCAAGTGGCTAGTAACTCTAGGCCCCATGTGGTCCTAACCATCGAGTAGTACCTTAGGGCTGTAGACTCTTCCTCCTGTGAAAACAGCATTGCAGACTTGGGCTATGGGGTGGAAGCTATACACCGACCTTCTGCCTGAACTTCACCCCAACTGGGCCTCCCACAAGGACTGTAGGCCTGCCAAGAATAACAGGGCCCAGGCCAAGTGAACCTGGCTCTGTTGTGGGCTTGTCTTCAGAAAGGGGATGAAAGAACAGTAGACTGGAAGCCCTTGGAGCACAATAAATGATTGCTGAACTTGGCCTGACCTGGAAGTTCACAGTCTCTTACCACCAGCCCTGCCTTCTATGTGGCTTCTGGCCCCGACCCAGAGGAGTTAAGCCACTACGTCATGCCAGGTGCAGAGTTTCAAGGGGAAAGGAAGCACAGACCATCCTGGAGGGGACATGTCCCATTCAGCCTGGGTGAGGGGGCAGACAAGCCTGCAGAGCCCTAGGACAGCTACCTAGTGCTGTGTAAAATATTTATTCATTCTCCAAAAAGGCTCAGACTGCAAGTCCTGGGGATCAGTGGGGAGGGAGGGGATCTCCTCTAGGGCCACATTCAAGGACCTCCACCCAGCCCTGGCCTAGTAGCACCCCTCCCCCAGAAAGGCTTAGGAGGGGCAGCAAGGGCTGCCTTAAGATTTGGCCTCAACCTGGTAGACCACAGGGCCTGCCTGCCCCTGTAGGGAAAAGCAGCCCTGAGAGGTCCATTCATAGAGGGCAGACATGCAGGCCCACCTGGTGGCTGACCCACTGTAGGCCAGGCTCTAGCCATATGGCCCTAAGGAGCAGGTCAAGGTGGAGGGGGGATATCGGCACCCAGCAGGTCATAGGCAAAGACGTTCCAGAAGATGGCGAAAAGCAGGAAGGTGCCATAGGCAAGTAGCACCACCCACCAGCCGCACTGGTCCCTCAGGCGCTCCTCATAGCTTCGAAGGATGGTAAGGCCCATGCTTACACCTACCACTGCACCAGCCAGGTGTGCCATAAAGCTGGGCTGTGGGCCTGAGGCAGGCAGTGGTGGGGAGAAGCGCAGCCACACAGCCCGGCCCACTTCGGAACTCACTGCAGAGGGAGCAACAGGTGGGAGGGGCCCTGTCTGCAGGAAGAGGGCCTCCCAGCGCCCCACCTGCCCCGCTACTCACTGCACACCAGAGCCAGCACCATCCTCAGCAGCTTGTATGGACACCGCATCCCAGCCCAGTTCTGATGGGGACAGACAGGCAGGCTGTGAAGCATGTCCAGTGGGCCTCCCTTCCCACCTCCCCAGAAGGGCAGTCCCATTACCATGACAACATTGGCCAGGTGTGCTGAGCACAGGGCATAGACCCCTCCAGAGCCCCCTACCACAGGGGCACGCATGTCTGTGATAGAGACGGTCAGGGAGCCTGTGGGCAAAGGGAGAGGTGAAGGCCCAGCTGGCCCTCAGCTCACCAGGTATGGTAGGCAGGGGACCCACTCACCAATGTGCCTGTCTCACCTGCCAGCACACCTGCCAGGTAGAGCAGGCTGATGCGTAGTACACCGTGCACCATTTCCAGGGGCACCCCAATCATCAGCTGCAAGAGGGCATTGAACCCTAGCTGCTCCAGCCTGGCCACAAAGGAGCATTGGGGAGGGGTAATTAGATGTGTGCCCTGACTATTCCCAGACTACCTCAGGCAGCTGCAAACCCCCCCCCAAGTGGGAGTTAAGCCTTCAAAGTCAATGGGCAGGTGCTGGGAGGTGAGGAGACAGGACTCTGGAACCCCAAGCTCACTTACCCAACATGCATGAACATGTAGGTGAGGAAGCGCCAGGCTCGAGCACGGTGTCCTGGGTGATACACTAGAGGGCTCTTCATGTATTCAGGGTGGTAGGTCTGGAGCACCCACTTGTTGAGACGTGCCCCGTAGCACAGGAACACGATGATCTGGGGACACTAGTGTTAGAGCTGGTCAAGACTAGGGACTCAGGAGGCCCCGGGGCAGCATGTGGGCAGGCCCACCTGGGCAAGGGTGACAGAGGCCATGAACACAGGGGGTGGGCAGCTGCGGTGCCGGTAGAAGTACCAGCGGCGATCCACCTCACAGGGCAGGATCTCGTAGGCCACATATCGCACAAACCGCTTGTAGATACCCAGTCCTGGCTCATCTAGCAGTCCATCCCGGGGCAGCGCCCGTTGTCCATTAGCAATGGCCCTCTTGAAGCTGCTGGAGCGCTTGCTGCTGATCTGAAGGGAAGGGGTCTTAGTGTAGGTGACAGTACCATTCCTGTGAATCCCTGCCCTAATTGGCTACATGGCTGCTAATAGTCTGATCCCCTATTCCACACTGCCCAGGTCCATAAGCCCTACCCAGTAAGCTGCCTGCCCACCCAGTTTTGGCCAGGGTGCTGTGCTTGATCAGGACTGGGGCCCTCCCCTGCTGCCCACACACCATGGCACTGACCAGGTCCACCAGCTCCTGGTAGCAGACCTGGCCCCGTTCGTTGCTCTGAGCCAGAGCCACCAACATGTCCAACTTGGTAGGGTCCAGGGGCAGCTCATGGCTGTGTACCAGACCAGCGAAGGTGTCCGCACCGATGAAGCCTGTATTCTCAGGATCCAATTGCTGTGGTGGGGGAGCAGAGGGTGGGCCAACCTCCAGCCACAGGGCTGAGCCAGGCTGGCTAGGAAGGCTGGACTTTTGTGCCAGTCAGTGCCTGTTTGCTAGAATCAGCTTGTTCCCAGACCCTGGCAGGGCAAGGCGCCTGGTTTGGATGCTCCACTACCTCATATTCACCCTACCAGTCCTAGAAGGGGGAGGACTTGGGTCCGAGAATCACCTCCCTCCCTCCCCCGATTTCCGTGGAAATCCAGTGAAATCAGACCTTTCGTGGGGTCGTGAGTCTCAGAAGCCAAGGTCGTGAAGGCTTCAGGAAGCCTTTGGAGGTGGCTGCCTGGTGGGGCCTTCTGCAAGCATGGTTCCTCCCCCGAGCCCCGAGCCGGCTGGAAGGGCGCTAAGGCAGTGCCAGCTCCCACCCACCACGCACCTGCTCCTGGATTAGCTGTAGCAGCGAGCTCCTGTCCATAGAGCCGGGCCGAGGGCCGGGGTCGGCCGAGGCCGGGAGGGGCTGCTCTGCGGACCGCTCCGCTCCGCCCCGGCCGGCCCGCTCCACCTGCTCTGCTCTGCGCACACCAAGCTCAGACAGCGTCACTGAGTTGCCAGTCCTGCGCGCACACGGGCAGAGCAGGCGCGTACCCAGCACGCGCACGCGCCGCCGCCCAGACTCAACGCACATCCTGGGTAAAGTCCCCCACCAAACAGCTCGACCCAGAACCACCGCCTGTGCACAGTTCTTGCACTGGTGCTGCAGCAGCTTCTCCCAGGAGGCTGAAGCTGGGAACTTGCAGCACTCAATATCCCTCTTATGCAGCCTTTCTGATTTCTGTACTCAGCATGCTTAGTTAGCACCTTCTCTAGGAAGCTTTCGCTCACAAAAAAAAAAAAAAAAAAAAAAAAAAAAGGCCTGTGACCCATCCCCATTACATCAAGGTCCATTTGCTCCCCACCGCACTCAGATTTCCTCCTGAGCTGGGAAATGCTTGTAGTAAACACACTCTCGTCCTTATTATTTGCAGTGTTCCAGCAAGGAAGCACCAGGTCCAGCAAAGCAAGCCCAGATACCAGGTGGTAGGGTACTGCCACTGCTCACACCCTTACCCCCTACTGGTGGCTAAGGCTGGAAGCCCTAACCAGATTTTCTCTGCACTGGATTTGAGACAGCAGGGCCTCCAGCGCAGAAGCACCGGACTCAGACACAGGGGATAGATAGCCAGGCAAACACAGCCTTCAGAAGGTAGGACCACAGCTTGGATAAGAGAGGGTATTTGTTTCTGAGGACAGTGACTGATGGTGACAGACCAATGGGATATGTAATCATGGCACCTCTCCAAGTATCACTCAAAATGGAACTTTCTGCTGCAGAGATGCAATGGCAGTTCCTCTATAGAGAATATAGCTGCTTACAAAAAGCATCCTGTCCAGATAAAAAGTGGGACAGAAGGCCAAGACATTGGCAAAGGGGAGGGACTCCTCCTTTCAAGGACCCTTATTAGGCAGACATTCCGGGGCAGGGAGTACCTATCTGCCCCAACTTAAATTGCACACTGGTTATCTGGATATGCGGATGCCTGTCTCAGTGTGCTTGGTAGCCATATGCAGGGTAACTCTAAGCCTCACTGTCTATCCTCCCCTCAGCTTCTGGCCAGGCAGGATCTAGCCTCTGTCTATCCCTTACTCATAACAGTCAGGCTACACATAAAGCCTAGGTTCTCAGCACAGCCAGGCAGGCTGACTGGCCAAAGAATGGCATGTGGGTAATAAGGAATCACCTACACCCCAGGGAGGAAATAGGCATGTGCATTGGACCTATCACACACAACCAACCCATTGGTGGGTCCTGACTTTACTGATCAGCAGACCCCAACTGGATCTACCACAGCCATTTAACACTGACTAATGAGACCTCAGAATAGGGACCCAGAAACAGAGGGAGACAGGAGGGTCAGCTGACATTTCTAATTCACACAGACAGAAGTCACATTTAGACTGATTGAAGAAAAGCCATTTTTAAGGGGCTGAAAAGATGGCTTGGTGTTTAGGAGCATTTGCTGCTCCTGTAGAGGACCTGGATTTGTTCCCAACATCAACATGGTGGTTTATAGTCATCAGTTAACTCCAGTTCCAGGGGATCTGACACACTTATCTGGCCTCCGTGGGCACCAGACACACATACATAATACACTTATATATATGCAGGCAAAACAAACATTTAAGATAAGCATTTAAGAGAAAACAAAACAAAACAAACCAAAAACAACGTCTTGAGAGACCAACATCCAAGATATGGAAAAGTGAAGTTTAATCAGGAAACCCAATTCCACTTTCTCAGCAGCTGGTACTGTGTGGGTAAAGCTCCACACTATACAGAAAGGTGAGAACTATGTGACTATCAGGTCCCTCCTCGATTTGACCACCATCTCTTGCCCCCACATGCCTACTGGCCATACTGAACCAGGAAGCACCCTGAGAACTCCTGGTCCCAGTCCCTGGCTTCCTTACCCACAACTGAGCCCCTAAAACACAATATTCCCTCCAAGGCTAAGGCCTCACACCTGCCACCTGTACCCTCAGGCTTAGCAGGACAGGGCAAAATACAGCCCTGTTATGGAGCAATAGGTTTTTGAAGCCAAGGTTTAGAAATGAAGTCCCTGAGCAGGTACCCCACATCAGCCCTGGGGACCCTGTAGCCACATAGCTATTACACACCAAGCTGAGAGTCCATACTCCTCTGCCACGTGGGCCCCCACAAGGCAGCAGTGTGCTGTGCCTTGATTAGGAGAGGCTCATGGGTCCTTCATCATCGGCTCTTCACAAGGACCCTGTATAGTGAGAAGCTAAGGACAGCAGCCACTGCAGTTCCGACAGCCACCAGCATTCCTCGGAGCCAAAAGGAGGGGGGGTGTAGCTCTGTGTGCATCAGGTGTCTGTGGAGAGATGAATGTGCAAGGCATGTGCTAAAAGCTCACTGAAAACCCATGTCCATAGCAGAGGCCAGCCAGGCCAAAGGAGGACACCCAGCACGGCTCTCGGGGCCAAAGGCCCCACCCTGCAGCTCTGACACCTTTGTACCCAGATGATAGACTAAGCCCTGGGATAGCCACCCCACACTAAGCCTGTGTTAGGTGTACCCACGGGAAGGTGGCCATGGTAGCAAGTTGGGTAAAGACAGCTGTGCTGGGCTGTGCTGGTCCCAAGCAGGAGAATGAGGTGGGGGCAGGCAGCCGGTGTCTGCGGCAGAATTCAGCTGGTGACAGGCCTGGCTCGGCAACACCTTCAGGGAGATCAGCTTTGGAGGAGATAAAGAGGCAGGGGGTTTGCCCGTCCATGTAATGGTGCTGCCAGGAAAGAAACATGAGAACTGAGCTTGTTGGCCTATTTAGCTAGCTTATGGCTGGGTTCCCCTTATAGGACCCTAGGTCAGAACTTGCCTTGTATATGGTGGCACAGTGTACAAAGGTCTTGGGGTCACTGCTATCAAACATTAAGCAAGCGACATCACAGGTAGTGTCCAAAGAGGTGTCCAGCAGGCTCTCAGCGCTCACTTCACACAACTGGGACAAACAATAGCCTTAGCAGCTTCACAAGGCTTGGCCCCCGATGGCCACCCTGGGACAGCTCCATCAGGAGGCACAATAGGGGACACGGAGTGTCACAGGTCTACCCTCCAAGACAGGGTATATAGTCCCTCACTCACAATCAGGTACTTCTCTTGTCCACTGACCCTCACTGTATTGATGGTGTGCATGGGGTGTCCCTCAGGGAGTTCTCTGGCCTCCTGTGTGAAAGTAGGAAAGAAGCCTTCATCTCCTGGCTCCAGAGTTCCCTGTGGTACCTCTCCTGCCCCTTAGTTCCCAGGTAGAGGCTGGGGCCACCACAATTCTCACCTTCAGACTGTAGCCAAGGAAGGCTTGTAAGAAGGCTGACTTGCCCACTCCTCGGGCTCCCAACACCTTACACATAAGAACATTGCGCTGCGTCTGCCCTTTCTCCTGGTCTAGCCTCTTTTCACGGGTAACTGTAAAGAGCTCACATGAGGGGGTTGGCCACTAAGGAGGAGCTGGGCCCGGGGCCAAAAAAGAAGCTACCCACCTGTGATGGCCTGTGCTTGGGAGTCCTGCTCACAGAGGGTGGGGTAACCCAGGTAGCCAAGGTGTGCAAGGCATTGCTGGACATCTAGGTAGGTCACCAGGCTGGGGGTAAAGAGAAGCACAGCGCTAAGGGGAGTAAGGCAAGGGTGGGTAGGAATAGACAGACAGGAGCAGACTGTACTTACGTCCACTGGCAGAGATAGCCATGTAAGGTCAGCTGGCCAGCCTGAGTGGGGACTGTGTATGAGAGTTCTCGGCCCCAGGGAGCCACTGAGAACACACTGAAGAGATTCTGTAGCTCCGTGGATGAGAGGGCACCATCATGGTCCTATAGGCAGAGGGGCTGTGGTGATACGTGCTTAGGTGTGTTGAGGGGCAGGTGAGGTAGTGGTGCTCACCTGGTCATGCTTCTCAAATACCCGCTGCACAAACTGGTAGCCACGGTGGTTGAGCTCTGTGCTGCAGCCAGGGGGCACATGGAGCCTGTGGGGATGTGAAAGGTTGTCTAGTGCACTTCAAATATCACAATGCAGGACCTGCCTGGGCAGTAAGGCACCCCAACATAACTCTCTGGTCACACAGTTAGGGCTAGACAAGGGGAGCAGCTATGAGTGTGTGTTGAGAGGCCAAGCTGGAGTCTCCAGGTCACAAGATTAAGACAGATCCAACAGGAAGCCCCGATCCCAGACAGTCCCAGTGAGCAGGACCCACTCCAAGAGTATAAACCTCACTGCCCACCCACATGCAACTCACGGTGGGCAGAGGTAGTCAGACGTCAGCTCCAGTGAGTCACTGTAACCAAAGCGCCGTAGGATAGTCCACGTGGTCTCATGACGGCCACGTTGGATGAAGAGCGTGTTCAAGAAGAGGAAGCCTGTGAAAGAGTGGGGAGGGCTAGCACTCAGCCCAGCCACTCCCCACACAAAAGGACATCAGATGATGTCTGCCTCACCTTCCAGGGTCAGCTGGTTGTCCTGTACACCACCTGCCACATTCTTGCATACCACCCTTTTCACATCATCTAGGGCCTGTGGGGCCAGGGGATGGCCAAAGCAGGACTTCTGCCTCCGGTAAGAAAGTGCTTCATATCAGTCAGCTGCCCATGATTACTCTCTTATGAGGGTAGCTAGGGCCTTGGGGTAGGACCACACCTGGAAGGCATTGAGCTCCTCATCGCTGAGTGCCTGGTCTAGGTCCTGATCTGAGAGCTTGAAGATGCGTGTGAGAGCCTGGGCGCACGCAGGTCTTAGCTGCAGGGACACAACACCAAGTGGCCCTTTCCCTGTTCACCCTGCCAATGCTCCCATTCATTTGCTCTCCTTGTCCATCGCCCCACACAGACCTTGGAATGAGTCTTGGGGAAGTACGTGTGTATCCCTCACCCACTACTCACCTGTTTGGCCTCAGGGTCATAAAGCGGGGCCGTGGGATGCAAAACAGCCTTCTGGGCATAGTAGAACAGTTCTGAGATATTCCTCAAGTGCTTGGCTGAACACTGGACAAGGGTGGGGACAGAATCAAGGAGGGATCCAAGACAGACCTAGGGAGCTACTGCAGGGTCTTAACACAGACCTACTCAAACTCCCTGCTCACCTCTACACAGGTCTCTATCTCAGGAAACTGGCTCATGATGGGTAGTACAGCTTCCATGGTACTCCCTGGTCGCAGGTCTGACTTATTGCCTACCAGGATGATGGGCAACCTGGGAGAGAGGCCATGATCACCAGGGATGGGGAACAGGTGGGGTCTAGTCCCCCTAGCTGAGGCCCTGCTGGTCACCTGGGCCCTGTTGCAGTCCTGCCATTCACCAGGGGGATCCACTTGGTTCGTATCTGAAAGACAGGGTCCAAATGTGAAGGAAGAATGCACACATGCTCCCCAACCTGGGGCTGAACAAGCTTTAGGAGTGGAGCTGAGCTGGAAGCCAGCTGTGGTCCTGTGGATGAAGCTGGTGGGAGACTGAGGATGACAGAGAGGGACTTGTCTGATCCCAACAGCTGCAATCTCCCCAAGCAGGTCCCTAGCTCAAAGGTATGGGGATCCCTGAAAGGCTCAACAGAGATGAAGCTGAGAATGAGGACTGGGGAACAAAAGCCACTATGTACTGCCCAGGTTAACTGCAGCCAACCAAGCCAGGCACTAGCAGCAGGGGCTGAGAACGGACAAGGAGCTCCCCTCTTGCTCACCTTTTCAATGGTGGCTTCCTCAGACACATCGTACACCACACACACTACATTGGCCTAAACGAAAGCAAGACACATGGTAACCAGAGGCTGCCTGTTCACTATAAACAGCATGGGGCACTCCAGTCTGCCCCAGGAGCTCACAGCAGGATGGGCAATGAAGACTGGGAAGCCCACCTTTACCAAACAAGCCTCTCCCTGCCAGCATTCCCTAAGAGACATCAGACACTAGCACCATGGCTGTAGTCAGCACATCCTTGTCCTAAGTGCTTAGGACAGACCCACCACATGCAGGGTACAGTCTTGACCAGGATCTCTCACTTTCTAGCTCAGTACAAGCAGCAAGGACGCTGTGGATAAGGGCAAGGAGGCACTGCCTGCACCCATAGGGCACTGGCTAAAGGACTGCATTCAGGAACACGGTAACTCTGGCAATGGTTAACTCCTAATTAAGATGGCACCCACCACAGCCTGGGGAACCTGGACAGCAGACTGGAGTACAGAGCCATGGTACTGGAGAAAGGCAGTATAGTGTTTAAGTAGAAGCAGTTTAAGACACATGTATCTGCTCCCCTTAGACCCTAGGCAGGAGCAAAGAAGGGAAGTCCCTTCTCTCTCTGCAACTAATGGAGGTACTGGTCCAGTCCTGGTTCCCAGAAAGCTGTGATCTGGGAAAGCCAATAGCATTCAGTGCTGAAGGTCACAGTAGAATTAACAGGGTCAAGCACAGCCTGTCACCTAATCCAGCTCGGCAGAAGAAGCCGATTAGGACTAGGTAGCAGCAAATTAGGACCAATGAATGGTGCTCAATACCCACGGGCCCTCAGGATCTCCACGCACCTTGTGGATCTCCTCCTGAAGTTCCTCCTCTGTCTGCTCCGCTTCTAGAAGGAAAAAGAAAGCGATGCGGAGAGGCTGTCCAGCTGACTGCAGACCGGCTGAAGGCCCAATACAAATTGGCTGAGGGGGCAGCACTTGGAGATACCTGAGTAATCCACGATGTGGGTGGGCACCTTCTCCGGGGTGACATCGGCTGGGATGGTTATCTCCTCCGCGCGGGCAGGAACCTGCAACAGGTGGGTCGGAATTGACTGCGGAGCACAGCCACCCAGAGCCTCGCATCCGCCCCAGTGTCCAGTCCGGCCCGCACACCTCCTCGGGAAACTCCTCGCCGACCAGCGACAGGATCAGAGAAGTCTTCCCGACCTGGGCTGCACGCAGAGAGGGAACAGTAGTCAGGAGCATGGCGGAGGTCACAGCGACCCTACCCGTTTGCCCGCGATCCCAGCACCTACCCTCGCCTAGCAGCAAGATGCGCACGTCACGCCGCATGGCTGCCGCCCGCAGCAGCTACTCAAACCAACCCTTCCCGGCCCAAAATGAACCAACTAGACCCAATCCCAACTCAACCCTCTCCTTCAACCCGCTCAAGCCCCCACACTTCCTGTCTCTAATCCCGCCCTCGTCCAAACTTCCGATCCCGCCCGCGCAGCTCCAGCTAGTGGTTGAGCTACGCGTCGGCGCCACCACATGGGTGCTCCTAATGCTGCAGGTGATGCAGCCAGTTCTCTTGGACCCAACAAGCTTCTTTGGTGAACAGGCCAGTGGTGAGAAAGGCTAGACAAAGGACATGATTGGGGGTAGGGGCAAAGACTGAGCTCAGGACTGAAGTGATTCAGAGATGCAATTTATGGAGCAATAAAAAACAATGTATCAATATAGCAAATGCCAGGTTTTATTTAAACTGTACATAATAAAAACAATAAAACAACCTTCATCTGGAAAACCTTCCCAGTCTTATGTGTGTGTGTGTGTGTGTGTTGGGGGAAGAGGGAATGGTTTGGGGGGTCAAATCCATGTCCTCACACACTCTAAGACATTGCCACACCTTCATCTTCCTTAAATCTTTGCAGGTCACCCACATGCAAAATGATGTAGTTCTGAAGCCTGCCCCAGCCATCCTGGCTCAGCACACAGTAATCCACAGCCTGGCTTTTCTGCCTATTCCTAGCAATAGTTCAGGGGCTGGTGACTTCCCACACGAGGATCTCATTGTGAGCAGCTGTGAAGAGCAGTCTGCCAGATGGGGTGAATCTACACAGGTGTACTGAGTCATCATGGCCTTCAAAGTCCTGGGCAGTCCCTGACACACAGTCTAGGAGCCTCAGCATGCATTCTGTGGGTAGATGACAGGATGAGAGGGACAGGCAGCACCCAGAGGGATGCCCAGTCCTCTTGTGCTCCCAGCCTGACTCAGTGCTAGCTAGCACCAGGGAATCTTGCTGAGAGAAGTCAAGGCCATGATCAGTCTCTATACCCCCAAACTTGCTATGGCTGAAGGCCATCAAAGCTGCCCTATTTGTCTCAGTGCATGTGCTACAGTTAGTTGGTAACTTGCACCTTGCCTCTGAGCTTAGGCCCTCTTTGGGGCTATGTCTCCACACTCTTCAAAAGAGAGGGAGCCCCAAGGCACAGAGGTGAAGCCAGTTAGCCACTCCCCCAAACAGCACAAGGGTGTCTATGAACACTCACCAGCAAAGCCAACCACCATGAGATGGGCTCCTGGGGACAAGCTCAAGGACATGGCAAAGAAGGGCAGTGGTGTCTTCTGCACCACCTGTAGGAGGACAGCAAGCAGGGTGACTTTGGGGACTCCTGCTGGGAACACAGCCCAGGCTCTATGGCCTTATGATCCTGCGATGCACAGCCCTTTATGCCCACCTACAATGCAGTACCTATTATGAATGCACAAACCTGCTTTTGACGGAGACTGTAGAAGACCACCTCTTCATGTGCACCAAGGCCCACACACACCAGTATTGCCCTATCCCAAGGGCAGAAGGCAGCAAGAGATGGGGGCAGGAGGCCTAGAGCCTGTGAGAAATAGTGTGTTGAGTTGTGCAGGTCCCAATTCCCACCCATATGCCCCTGGAACTCTTACCTCTGAGGTGACAGGTGCAGGGAAGCTCAACCACTCCAGGAGCTCACAGCGGTCCCGGAGCCAGTCAGAGGCCCATACACTGACTCGCTGGTCTCCACTTGCAGCCAGCCACAGGTCTACACCCTCTACCCCCAGGTCTCCATACTGGGAGAAATGAAGGATGTGAGAACCTGCAGACTTCCCATAGCACCCAGACCTCTTCCCACCATCACCTGAGGTTGCTTTACTTCTTTGCTTGTGCTCTGGATAGCAGAGATTGGAGCACCCCGGTGGTCACTGAGTACACGGAAGGTCATTCCCGTGCAGGGGTGGCTTATAGCCACAAGCCCATCCTTGTCTCCAGATAGGATCGTCTGACCTGTGCCAGATGGAGACTATGTTATCACCCTGTGAGCTTAGCCCATGCCCTGAAGAGTAATGTAGGCTAGATGAGGCTGGCACATCACTCTTTGGGACCCCATCTCCTCACCATCAGTGGAGAAGGCAATGGCTGTCAGAGCAGTCCGGTGGGGGTGCATCTTGAGCTCCATTGCAGTACGAGAGATGCTGAAGACTCGAAGTGTGCCATCACTGTAGCCTGCCACCACCTGCTGCTGCTCTGGGCGTCCACAGGATGGGGGGGTCCATGCAAGGCAGAGGCAGCTCTAGTGTCCCATGGTGGGGGAAAAAAAATCAGCATTTTCCCCAGGGAGGTAAAAAAGGCACCAGCTTCAGCCCATGGGAGCACAGCACATGATCTGGGCTCCACTTTGAGCATACACTAAGTCTGCCCCCCGGAACTTCCCACCTACCTGGTTCAGCACTTGGAACTGGATCACCAGCTCCATGCTGGCCAAAGACCACACCCTCACACTCCCATCCTCACCACACGTGGCACAGTGAGACTCGCTGGGGCTGAAGACCACTTCGTTTACCTGTAGGACCCCAGTATGGATGAGGGGATGCTCAGATGGGCCCTTCCTACCCTGATCTCCAGGACCAGGCTACCCACTTGGCCCAACCATCTCCACGTAAAGGTTCATAGTATTTCCCTATACCTGGGGATGACCCCATCAGTAGGCGGGACTTGGAAACCCATGGGAAACATTTACAGAACCTAAAATATATGTGACCACGTTCTCCAGCAGGCTACAGACTGAAAGCAAAAGCATAAGACACTTGGCTGTCTCCAGGGCTTATGACATGAGTGGCTTTGTGGCTTTTTTCCCCCTTCAGGCTGTTGAATGTCTTGATGGAGAAAACAGATGTGTATCTTGTGAGAAAACCACTGAGAATTAGGACTTTTGGAGGAAGGTAGCACAGATGCCATGAAGTAATGAAATTCAGTGCAAACTGATGCATGACATCGCACGAAGGAATTTCAAGGTTGGGAGTTGCTCAGGGGTCTCAGTTCTCATCTCTAGCTCCATTCAGCTGACGAACAGTGGGCTCATGATGTTCATATCATGGCTTCTGGGTCTGGCACTCCTATCAACTCTTGGTACTGGAAAGCAATCAGGACTCCCATCACAGCTCAAGGGCTCAAGACCCAAACTTGTGTGGGATAGAGAGCACGCTGGCTATTTGAACAATAGGAGACTGGCCACTGACACACAGGCTGGATGAACCTGGAAATCTGGTGGACAGTGAAGGGAACCCAATACAGGCAACATGCACAATCTATCACATGACTGTCAGGCATGAATAAATGCAGATACTCCCATCAACTGACTGGCCTGGCCCTAGATCTGACCACACCTGAAACATCCAGACTAGTTCCAACTGCATCTGAGGAGATCCAACCAGAACCTGCTAGGGCCTCCTGCCAACTGGACTCCACAATGGGACCCTGATGATGTCAGCAGAGGCCACCTGTGAGACATGCTAAGCAGGTGGTGTGTGTGTGTGTTTTTTTCTTTTCTTTCTTTTTTTTTTTTTTTTTTTTTTTTAACAAGTTACAAGAAAGAAAAGGAAAAAAGAAGAAAAAGAAGGAAAGGAAAGTAAAATCTTGCTAGGAACACTAGCAAGGATCTAGAAAAATGCTGCAGAGCCAGTCAGGTCAGGCCCCTAACAGACATATACAATGCCTGGAATCAAGAGGGCCCACCTGAGTCTCCCTAAGCATTACTATGAGCTGAAGCCAGGAGGATTAGGGTGAAAGAGGAGGGTAGTAAGTGAGCTTGCTACCCTAGCCTGCCATGCCTGGGGTGAAAATCCTGTCTTCCTAAACAGCTTAGCAGGCTTACCTTGCTCCTGTGGCCACTGATGAGGCGGGTGCTAGTCCCCTCTGTCCAGCTGATGTACCAGAGAGTGCCAGCTGTGGTGCCCACTACACCCATGTCCATGCCCCTGTCAAAGCTGGCACTCACAACAGCCCCATCCAGGGTCAGCTCACGTTCCATGAAAACAGAACTGGATCTAAAAGAAAAGGAGAAAGAAGTCTTGAAGCTGGAGACATGAGCCAGCTGAGTATGCCAGGTGATGAGGAAAACAGCAGCCATCTGGTGCTGTGTTCTCATAGGTAAAGGAACCAAGACTCTACAGAACCCAGGGGCCCGTCTCTTCTTGGTCTGTAGCCTGCAAGGCCCATGCTATGCCTGAGTGTACTCTCAAGGAGGGACCCAGCTGATGACAGATATGTAGGGCAACCCTCACTTGAGAACTGTGCTACAGGAGTACTGGCTTGCAGGAACCATCAAGGACTTGAGACTGCTACCGAGACCCAAGGAAATGGTGCAGGACAGAGGCCCATGGCAGCTCACCTGGCACTTGAGCCCTTGCGCCTCAGCTCTGGCACAATCCCCACAGCCCAAAGGCGCAGCCTTCTTGTGTTACTGCCACTGACCAGTCTTGAACCTGAGCACAGCAGGACTCCTAGAAGACAGGGTGGGTATGAGATGCCCAACCCCCAGGTTGCGACAGCTAGTACAATTGGACGGCCACAGAGGTTGTTGGGCACCTACCAATCTCGCCTTCATCAGCCTCCCAGGCCAGGAAGCAGCGGCCAGTGCCAGTATCCCAGACACAGACCTGGCCAGAGCTGGAGCCACAGTAGAGCAGGGGGCTGGCCCCATAGCAGAGTGAGGTCAACTCAGATGCCCCCAATTCCTCAGGGACTGGTTCCCGGTGTACCTGACAGAACACAAGGGTGGCTGTGGGTCAATGATGTCCTGAGGCAAACAGATTCCATCCTGTGAAGTTGCCCATGAAACACCTTGGGGCTGAAGAGATGGCTCAGCAGTTAAGAGCACTGGCTACTCTTCAGAGGCCCTGGGTTCAATTCCCAGAAAACACATGGCAGCACATAACTGTAATTCCAGTTCTAGGGGAATCTAACACCCTCACGCAAACATACATGCAGGTAAATCACCAATGCACATAAAATTTAAAAAAAAAAAATTAAAAAAAAAAAGAAAGAAAAGAAACATCTCAGCTATCAGCCTGATACCTGAAAGCTGCTGTCTCTTCCATGGT